TAAGAAAAAGTAAAAGTGATCTCCTCAATATCACCAGTCTTTTACTCGGGGACGCACCTCCTGGTTGCAATTTCAGTCTGGATAACAACTAATCATGCACTTTCTGGTCTGGATATCGGTGTTATAACTCCAAAAGGCGGTGCTCAGTCGAGGATACTCGTTTATTAAGGATAACAGATGGGACATCAGTAACTGGGCATACATAAAACAGAAAATCTCACCAGAAACATAACATCGCGGTTCCTGGCCGCACGACGGGTAATGAATGTAGCAATCCACAGTTGGTCTGAGATACTGCAATTCACCCTCGGTGGTCTTCTTAATTTTTGATCGTCAAAAGCCATCGTCAACTGAGTTATCTACTACTCATAAGTGAGTAGTATCTCACAACACTGGATGCACCTCCAGTCATTACACAAACAATTGTAACCCACAATGCCGGTGGGCTTGGATTCAGACCACCGTTCTATTGGTTGGGCCAAGAATATGATCTCGTTCGTTCAGTCTGCTGGAACTATTTCGATGTACGCGACTACCATTATCAGGTTTAGCCTGTCTGTCAAGTAGTTACCCAGGTTTGGCTCCTGCCGAATACAAGCAACAACCACACAGAGTTGAGTGACTGATGTTAGCAAAAGGAAAGGAGCTGTTCGATAGAAAAACGGCAGTGTTCATTAATAGAAACCTCTGAACTATCATAAATGACCAGGTGGTTGTCTGTTCTTCATAACCTCACTTCATTGCCTAGCTTGGAGAGTCTTAAGGTAGTTACCGACTGTTTTCCTTTAAACAACCTGCTTGTCCAATTTGACATTTCTAACAGAAGTGTTAGGCTGTCTTTGACATATGCTGTCCTGTGATAACTTTACTCCCTCAAAATGGTGGAATATCAACACCTCTTCTTAAACATCTTCGCCGTGAAAAAGGATCGTGCATTTAAAAGTGGCAGGAGGGCTGAAGTGCAACGACTATCTTTTCTGATCAAGAGTGAGATAAGACGGTTGGACTTGCATAAAGCAAGTCAGATTTTTTGGGACGAGGAACTGTAAACCTGTGGCGTGGAATCGATCTACTCTACAGACCGAAGAAAGTGATTTCCAGTCCCTCTATTGATGTTGAAAAACTAAATGCTGCATTTATTCATTCTTTGCCCAACACACCCCAGTTATATTGACTCCAGTTCTCCGAACATCCAACCTGCGTTTGATCCCGTCACATCTAAAGAGATGTAAAAACATGTGTTCTCTCAAGGTGTCGACTGCACCTGGTCCAGACAACTTAAGGTCTACCCTTCTTAAACACGGTGCTGTGCCACTGTTTCACATTTTTGCACCCAAACTCCGAACTATTCCGGATTGCTGGAGCCCGGTGAGAATTACTCCCTTCCCCAAAGGAACGTCAAAGGCCCCAATAGCGAAGCGTTTCAGACCAATGGCTTTCACTTCCACTTGTTTGAAATTGATGGAGCGATCAGTTTTGCATCAACTTTAGTTATCCCCTACCATCTCCGACGATACTTATCAGTCTGCATGTAAACAACCGCTCTACATCAGATGGCGTTTCTTCTTTAGTTCATTTCATCTGTATGTCCATTAACGAGAAAGACAAATATGTATATATATATATATATATATATATATATATATATATATA